CTCAGAGACGCTGCGGTCACAGCTGTTGGCCATGCTGCAGGCTGGAGCCGCGCGGGTAAGCGCGCGCGTGAGCAGGTGCAGCCACACACGGGTAGATGTACAGTGGCTTAGTGAAAGTTATTTACTAAACGCAGTGGCTACGCGTCCGGTCATCCATTACAAAGCTCAGCACAGATTTCCAAATCCACCTCACGATTAGGCCTTTCAAAATTGTTGATTTTACTTGATTTACTATTGCTTCAAAAGTTACAAAAACACATTTTTTTGATAAAATACCTAAAGGTAAGCAATATTATGGTAAAAACTTATTATTGTTTATTGTTATTATTAGTTTATTGTTTTTTACTGAAATAAATATAGTTGGGTTCACATAAGAAATATATGACCGGACGCGTAGCCACGGCCTTTCCTAAAATACGTCAGCGATCTACCAATGGGCTAACAGAAGCCAAGCTTAGCTTTCTTACCATCGGAAGCCAATTTCAGCATCATGGAAGCCATGGGTTTTGCTAAATCTAGGCATTGGAGTGTACAAATCGAATTAATAATTACAAATCTGTGAATGTTTTTATTTTCTCTCTGAACATGTGTTTTGTTGCCTGGCCACAGTAACCGTGATCTCTTGTCCTCTCACTTAGTTGGTAGAAAAAGCCTTTTGAAATCTGTGCCAAAAATATATGCAAAACTGGCTTCTGAGGGGAGCAGCTGAGTGGTCTAGATTGTGTTGCCACCTCCCGCATGCTTGCCACAGCGTTGTTGGACTCTGGGCAGGTAACTGTGTGATAAGCGCAGAGTTTCTTATACATAAGAGGCACAGTGGCGCACCGCCGTTGTCAAATTCAACATCGCCATTGTGAAAATGCTCCTGTAACTTTTAAATTTTTACAATTTTGTTCGGGGAGACCCCCCAGCCTCTCCCTCTCTCCCCCAGCTGTGTCCGCCTTTGAATCCATCATGCGTGGTTTTTTCCCCCAAACTGGCCATTACCGCCTTTGTCTAATTTTCCCTCAGAAGAAACCCTGTAAGTGTACTGCCACCATGCTGGGTTTGCCATCTAACCCCCACACACCCAGTGCACACACACACATATACACTTGCACGCGCACACACTGCCGATATTGATCCATATCCACATTTTAGTAGAGAAGTAGTAGTCATAGTAATTGATGGACTGACTCATTTTTTCTTCTTTGTTTGTCGGTGGTCGCAGGAGAACGATTTGCCGAGTTCCGACTTTGAGTCGTTGGCTCTGAAGGTGAAGAAGACTTCGCAGGAGTTTCGAAAGCAGGTGTGGAATCAGTCCGGTCCGGCAACTGTGTTCCCTAAAGACATGCTATGTATATACTAGGCCTCTGCTACACGCACTTTACACATCTCTTTCACTTTATATATCTCATTATCATCATCGGTTAATATAGACTCCGCGACATATCTGCCATGATGAGGCAGTCTATTATTAAAAGTTGTAGTGAGTTTACCGGTTACAGACATTATTCGGTGGGAAAATTTCCAACATAAGATGGATTCACAGACATGTAGTCTGGTAGTAGAGCATTTTGACCAGGAAAAAATGGTATAAAGATGATTTATGATGAGCAGGATGTGTTGTAGAACAACATATCCAAAATTGGCAAAAATACGCGTTGGGGAAAAAAAATTCTTGAATAAGGCTGTTTCCGGCAGTGCGCGTTTGTATCTACACGGTCGCCGTTTGGTGCCAGTGCATGTCCCACCTTTATAATCGATGCGTCGTTCACGAGGGCGTGTGTGCGGTTGTTAACAAGGTTGACTACGGTGTTAGATGACCGTATGGTCTTTTCGTCATCCCTTCGTGCTCTGGATTGTTTCATGGATATGTACGGCTTTGGTTACAATTTCGCGACTTTACTAATAGTTCGAACAGCGATAAAAATAAAACTGCTTAAATCATTATAAATTAGTTATGAATTATATATCTTCGCGATTAAATAAGATCTATACTTTTATATCTTCGCGGTGTCGTGCGTGCGCAGGTGCAGGACACGGCGCTCGAGCAGGCAAACGACGTGTTTGGCTCGAGCACGGATACAGAGGTCGTCGCGGCGATGAAGACGGCGGGCGTGGCCGTGACCTTGACAGGGATTGACGAGCTGACCTTGCAGCTGCTGGAACATTCCGAGCAGTTACAGGAGGTGGGTGTGTCTCGTGTGTATGCGTGTGGGTGGGTGCATACGTGTGGGCATGTGGTGTACATGCGCGCATATGTTTATGTGCTTCTTTGATGTAGTGTGTGCCATGCGTGGCATGTGTGTGTGGTGTGCGGTGCGCTCGTGTGGTGTGCGGTGCGTGGGTGCGTGCATCGTGTTCGTGAATGCCAAGACCGAGTAAGCTACGTTGGCTAAATCGAGTAGGTAAATATATTATGTACAGCTCATAATTATATGGCTTCCCCCTTTAACTCGAAAGATATTCATTTACAAAACTTAACGTCGGCTTTCTTAAGATTTTATGTTCGTCTATGGTTGTATAGGAAAGCATTTTTGCTCTCAAGAAAGATCCCATTTCCATTCGCAAATGCCTCGGATGACAAAATCATGCAAATAGTCGAGTGAACATTGAATGAGTTTTGCCGGCATGGTTTCCTTATTACAAAATGACTTATCACGCACGATCCACGTTCAGCAATAACGCCTTAGACTATGATAAATATCTGGCGAAACATTAACTAAGGCCAGTACTACTACTGCTGCTGCTGCTGTGCGGGCTGCTGCTGCTGGCTGCAGGCTGCTGCTCTGCATATTTCCTGCTGGCTGTTACTGCTACTGCTGACTGCTATTGCTTGGCTGCTGTTACTGCTGGCTGCTGTTACTGCTACTGGCTGCTGCTGCTTCTATTGCTGCTACTAAATGCTGCTACTGCTACTGTTGCTAACCTACTACTACTGCTGCTACTGCTGCTGCTGCTCATGCTACTACTTAGTGCTGCTATCTGCTACGCTGCCTCTGCTGCCTACTGCTACTGCTGACTCCGCTGCTGCTGCTGCTATCTACTGCTGGCTGCTGCTTGCTGCTGCTGCTGGCTGCTCGCTGCTGGCTCGATGCTGCTACTACTTGCTGCGCTGATGCTGCTACTGCTGATCTGCTTGCTGCTGCTGATGCTGATCTGCTGCTTGATGCCTGGCTGCTGCTGCTGCCTCTGCTCTTGCTATTCTACTACTAACGTGCCTGCTGCTGCTGGCTGCTACTGCACGCTAGCTGGCTGCTGCTGCTGCTGCTGATGCTTGCTACTACTACGCCTGCTGCTGGCTGTGGCTGCTGCTACTGGATTGCTGCTGCTGCCTGCTGATGCTGCTACTCACTGCTGCTGCTGCCTGCTGCTAGCTGGCTGCCTGATGCTGCTACTACTACTGCGCTTGGCTGGCTGCGGCTGCTGCTGCTCGCTGCGTGCTACTACTACTGCTGCTGCTGGCTGGCTGGCTGCTGCTTGGATGCTGCTGCTACTACTGACTGGGCTGCTGCTGATGGCTGCTACTGCTGAATGCTGCTGCTGATGCTGCTGCTGCGGCTGATGCTTCTTTTGCCTTGCTGCTTGTTTGCTTTTGTTGTTCTGCTCTTTTCTTGCTGTCTTCTATTTCTATTCACTTTTTATCTTTGTTCTGCTGCTTGCTTTTTGTTATTTCTGCTTTTTCTGCTTTGTCTGGCTGATGCTACTACTACTGGCTGCTTTTTAGCTTTTGCTGCTGCTTTATTGTCTACTACTACTGCTGGCTGTCTCTGCTTGTGTGCTCTACTTACTATCAGCTTCGCTTTGCTTTGCTGAATCGCTTGCTTGGCTGTTGTGTCTTGATTGCTGATTGGCTGCTCTGCTGCTTGGTGCTGCTTTATTTGTTCTATCTACTACTGCTTGCTTGCTGCTTGCTTGTCTTTGCTTGTCTGCTTGTCTTGCTTTGTCTTGTCTGCTTTATCTTTTTGCTTGTGTCTGCTTATATTTCTTGCTGGCTTCTACTGCTGCTACTGCTGCTACTTGACTGTAGGCTGACTGCTGATGCGCGGCTTCTGAGCAGCTGCTAGCTCGCTGCTGCTGGCACTGCTGCTGTATGCTGCTTACTGCTGTGATGCTGCTAGCTGCCTGCAGCTGCGTACTGTCCTTGCTTTTTTACTAGCTGCTAGCTGTCTGCTCGCGTACTACTGCGTTGCTTCTACTACTACTACTGTACTGCTGGGCGTGCGGCTGCTGCTGCTGTGCTGGCTCGGGACGGGCTGGCGTGTGCGGTACGTTGGAGGCTGAGCTGGAAGGGCGGGGGGTTACTGACGGGCGCTGTAGCTGCGCTGGCTGCTGGTGGCGGTGGGCTGCGTGCTAGGGCTGCGCGGTGTAGCGCGCACAGAATGAAAAAGATAGGAAGCAATTGACTCCGTCAACCATTTTTGTCGTTATCCCGGATTTGAGAGAATTCCTCCGGGCGTATTTGCGACGGTTTGCTAGAGGAGGTGGGCATATGTGTATAGTAGTGGACGATGAATGCTGATAGCGTCGGGACGCGTGAAATGCCGAACGCGGATGGATCCGCGATCGAGGATTTATACGCCTGCGTTAGTGGGCTGTTTTTTTTCTTGCCGTGGGCGCGGGGCAGAAGGAGCTGCGTGTTAGTGAAGTCATCGCTATGTGGCAGTCTCGTGGCAAGGCTGCAAGCTACTGAGTGACGCTCGCGGCTGAGTCGCAGCGCCGGCCATGTGGCGCCGAACAGCGCAGAGGAACGAACTTCAAGAGAGCGCCTCGACCACAGGTGTGTGTGTGAGTGCGTGCGTGTCCGTTTTGGTGTGTGTGGTGGGAGTCTGCTATGTGCGTGGCGGCGGTGCATGCGTGCGTTTTGGTGGTGTGGTGTGTGTGTGTGTGTGTGTGATCTGTGTGTGCGTGTGTGCGTGCGTGTAGTGTGTGTGGGTGTGTGTATGTTCTGCTGTGAGGAGCAGTCGTCACTGCCGACGGTAGTCCCAGTGGGTCTTCTCTGCAGGAATACATCGTCGCAGGCAAACTCTTGGCCCTTTTGCGCGGGGTTTTGTCTGTTGCGTGGATTTGTGCATGCATATTGTTTCAGTACTAATGTCCTGTGCAGTGGGAGGTGTGGGTAGGCAACGAACAGGGCATTTATTGATAGGAATTCAGTGTGCAGCTCACGTTCCGGTGAGTAATTACTGTGCAGGGATTTTGAGCTGGCGTGACTGAAACTAGCCAATAAGTGACAAAGTACGCCGTATCGCTCTCTATACACGTTCTTGTGTACAGTGGAGCATGCTATGACGTATGTTGTGGGTCAGTGCTTGTGGGGGTGGGTGGTCGTGGGTGTTGGGAGGTCGCTTTGAAAAGTACTGCTGGTGGGTGATTGGTGTGTGGTGGTGGTGGGGTGGTGTGGTGGCGGCGCGCGGGCGGGGCAGCCGGTCGTGTGTGTAACTGAAGTCTTCTCTAGCTCTATCTGCAACAAGAGGCGAGTAACGGCTAATCAATGTCTTATCGAAGACTACGAGCAATTATTCAGACGCGCATCATGAAGGTCGTTGTGTTCTCGTTCGGGTCGATTATTGTCCGGCGGCGGAACACCGAGGCAATTTTTATTGTTTGCCAACCGCGTGGACTGTGCCGCTTTTATGGCTAGTTGATGGTTGCTGATGGGACTACCAGCGGGGTTACTAGAAGGGGGGGGATGGCTCTAAAGTGAGAATGGCCGCGGCGGCGGCGGCCTTGCGGGAGTTGCGGTGCGCCGCAAGGTTGACACATGGCAAACATGCGCCTTCGCAGAGATAGGAACTGGTTGCACAACAGCTCGTTCGAAACATCTCATCAATGCGACTCCAACGCTTAAAGGAAAGACTCGGTTATTTCCTGCTCGTGGTGGAGGGGGGGTACTCGTTTGGATCCTCGTAGGTTTAGTAATTGCCAGTGCCGTGGCACACCAGAATGAGAAGAGCCGGCGCCGTCGCGGTTAACACTAAAACACGGTTCAATCTTCTGTCTGAAGGGGTTTTGCAGCTCAGTGTTCAGCGGGAGGGACAGCTAGTTTTGTGCGACACACGGGAGCTACCAGTGGATAAATATACACGGGGCTCGGGCGAGGTGAGGAGCCCCGAAAATGCCATAGAAAGAGGCCCGGAGGGCGGAAAGGAGGGCGGCAGGAGAGGGACGAGCCGCGCGGCGGTAGAATTGGTGCAATAGAGTTACGAAGTGCAAACCAATATGTTGGTAGAGGGTGCCTGAGTGTTTCATGCACGCTGAGCCTGTGAGGAGAAGTAGCCCGCCAGATAAAATAATTTTATCATTTTTGCGCGGTCTGCGGGACGACTACCCTTGCCGTACTTCCACATCCACTCCACATCGTGGACGATATGCAACAAGAAGCCCAGCGCCCCACCCACAGTAGTTCAGAGTCAGTCAGTGTTGCTGCTGCGAATGCCGATTAGCCTAATGATTAGTAGAAGATTTATAGGAATGGTGTATGTGACAGCTGTGAATTGGCGGCGATGATTAGTTTGTGGTTAGTAGTCGGGTGTGGTGTGTTTGTGTGTGCCGTGGCGTGCGTGCATGCGTACGTGTACATACAGCCGCGTCGTGGGTCGTGCGTGAGTGTGTGCAAGGCGATGCTCGGCTGTAATCGCCGGTGGTGTGTACTCTCGGTCAGACAACCAATGTGCGAGGCGGCGGGGAGGGGACAACTGCGGAGGAGAGGAAAAGAGAGAGATACATCACACCGCGGAAGCGATGCAAAAAACTCCACAGCACAGCACGGCACCCAGCGTGCGTGCATAACACGTACGCAATGGGCACCGGGCACGCACGCACACATCGGAGGGGCGGCCGCCGCGACGGGGACGAGGGGTCTGGAGGATGGCTGCACACACGGGGCGCACGACACACTAACGACAAATAATATGCAATTCACACCTGTCACATAAATTCTTTAATCATTCTTATATTAGGCAATCGGCATTGCACGACCAACACCTGATGACTCAATAGCTGTGGTGGCGGGTGGGCTCTGTTATTGTCACGGCGCTGTGGGGTGTATGTGGAAGTACGGCAAAGGGTAGTCGTGCAGGGGAAAAAATGTAAAATTTATGGTTTTTCGGGGGGGCGAACTTTTCAAGCTCCGCAGTTGCCATGAGAAATATGCGGACTCTAAAATTTGGTTTGCATTGACTCTATGCAAATTTACGGGGGCGTCGTTTTGGGCATTGTCCGGGGGCTCTTTTGGTCGAGATATGTCGGTGGGGATCTAAAGTGGGTCGTCCGCCGGGCGTGGAGCCCCCGTGGTATTTTTGTGTTTCCAGCTGGTACCGTGTGTGAACAACTCCGCCCTGTAGTGTGAGACGGTCAAGCTGGCCTCAGAGAAAACGAACTTCCAGACAACGGTTGCACCGGTTTGAGGTTTAACGCCGCAGCGGACAAGGTTGGCCGGCCCGGGGGCTTCTCATCCTGGTGTGCGGCAGCTGGCAAGTTATTAGAGCGCTACGACGATACAAACGCAGTTACGCCCCTCCGCCCCTCTCATCGCCGGGCCGAGAGGATAAATATAAACATGGAGGGTGTTTTTTTTAGGCCGAGTGAGAGGGTGCAGTCTTAGAGAGTGAGGAGGAGGCGTGTGTGCACCAGTTTCAGGTACGTCCTGGAAATGGATGCTTGCCATTGTACAAACGTTTTGTCGGCGGTAGGCAAAATCAAATTGAGCCATAAAGAAGGCCGGAGTCGGTGGCAACAATGAAATTGTGGTCGCCGACAATAAATCGGAACGGGGGGCTACCGAGCAAACACACTGGACACTTCAGAGTTGGATGGCGCGTCTGTATGCTCGTAGTGATGTTCATAAACATTGATTAGCCGTATTGTCGAGTAGAGGTAGAGAAAGACTATCAAGTTACGACCAAGCAGAACCCGAGCGGCC